GTAAATCTTGGTGAAGTAGATTTGATGGACGCTTTACGAACTAATCCTTTGGTATGCTTCGCTAAGAAAAACTCAGTTCTTAGCTTATGGCTTTGATTTCAGATCCCCAAATATCCAGCACCACCAGACCCTGTGATTTCAGTTGAGAGTGAGATGCAGACTTCACCGCCAGTGGATCCCCCCTCAAATTTTGAAACTTCTGTTGGGCTTGCTCAACCTGAGACAGAGGCAGTACCACTTCCTCCCCCAGAGCCACATGCTGCCGAAGAGTCGTCATCAGATATGTCTCTAGCTTCTACGACAGATTCTGCAGCAAGAATAAGTGATCTGGCTGATGGTTGCTCATTTATTTCGGACGACGAAGACGAAGAGGTCTGTTTATGCAGATTTTTTAATTACAGTTTAGTTTTAACTTTTTAGTTTTTGTATTTGTAGCTATAGAAAGGCATGCTTTACCCCTGTGTTCTCGAATTCTGAGTTTTACTTGAAATCTCTTGTTCTAGCCAACAAAACAGCCACAAGTGAACAGTATTGAGGTCAACGATGGTCTTTCTACGATCAGCAATAGTCCAAGCAATAGCCCTCCGCTACAAAGCCCTCCCCTTAGCAACTCTGAGCTTCAGAATCGGCCAGCTTCAAATGCTTCACCTGAAGGCCCTCTTCCACCTCCTCCTCCACCTCCGATACTCCCGCCTAGCACAACCACTAGCTCAATACCGTCATTAATGAGTCTGAGGTTTAATGAGTAGGTTGTTTCGTTCTTTCGAAAGTAGGGACGCTTTAATTGATTTCGGTCATTTTAGCAATCTTGATTACGACATGCCACCACGTCGCGACATCCGTCAACAAATTATCATCACTCCAGAGCGACCCCCAGCACCAGCACCGCCGCCGACAGACTACGCCGAGGCAGATTCCTCGTCTACAATTCCAGCGCAGCAGCCATTCTTTTTCCAAGCTCCGCCTTTGAAGTCGAAACGGACAATCTCTAACCCAAACCTCAACTCACTAAATGATCCCGTGTATCCAGTGCTAAATCCTGTTTACTCAGCAGGTGTGCAAGTCTTTCCTGGATTACATCAAGGAGTATCGGGTTATCCTAGTGAAAAACCATCTACGGGAGAGATGCCACTATCCCAGCAGTCTTGTTTCTACGGAGCTGGGCCATCAACAGTGGGAGAAGTTTCATCGTCTACCAATTTTATACCATACCAAGGCGACAGCAGATTATCCGATATGCCAGGTTTTTCACAATACGACAATAGTCTTCCTCCTCCATTAAGGGTGGAATCGGTAAGGATTCTGTATTGAATTACAAATAATTTTTCGAAGTGTTCATAAACTTTACGTTTCAGCCAGTTCATGGCCATCTGCCCCAAGATTTTGCAGCAGCAGAGAGCAGCTCGATTATGGAACCTCCGCAGAACTTCTTACCAGCTCGTCCGCTCGGTGAAAGTGGTTAGTCAGTCACCCTCTTTTTGCAACTATTGATGCCGTACAAGTGCTTGTCACTACATCATTCTTGTAACCATTACTCTATTTATCATAGTTTTATTATCCTTCATAATACTTATCATTCTTATGACCGGCATATCATTGCTATTATCGAACACTATGTATGTACCATATTACTATTTATCTGTTATGTTTATCTGTTTTGAATTTCC